GAAATTTTAAGTCGGGTATTCGCTTACAAGATAGATAGATGGATAGGATAGGATAGAATAGATAGATAGATAAAACGGGCAAATGATAACAAAATGATATTCGTCCACTTTATCGTTTCTGTTACAAAGAAAGCTTTTCTTTGATTGCGGTCTATTCTATTTGGCACATATCGGCCTGTTTCAATTTATGTGATGATAAACGCAGTCTGGATGTAGCAATTCTAAACTTTTTAGGTAAAATGTCTATATAAGATTCAAATTCAAAAATAGTTTTAATATATCCATACGTTACTTCACTGGTAGATATTTATTTTCATTTGTATGCAATATCTTTAACCAAAATTTTACAATATTATAATAACGTACCGATTTTAATGATATTCTACCTGGTTCACCATACACAAAATCAATTTGAGTGAAGAAATTACCAAATATTTGTGATAATGATTAACGGACTAATAGTGTTTTAGATATAAGGCATACTTGACTGCTTTTTTTTCTAATAGACCTACAAGGTCAAAACCCAATACTGATGGCATAGAGTGACTGGCTGTCCTTGATCTTTCTAGCCTGCCTATAAGCTCAACAGGTAGAGCGCTGGACTGTGAATCGGGCGACCCAGGTTCGATTCCCGAACGGTGCAGTTGATTAATATGAAATCATTTCTACGGCCATTCGTACTATACAAGTGCTCTGGCACGTACGGAAGTTATATTACATGTTTCATCAAAACCTCTGTTTAGGTTTGCTTCATGGTATTTCCACGATTTTCAAAATATAAGGTGGGGATTTATTCATATATAAACAAAGCCTGGATTTATCTATTATAAGAACACTTCATATTATTTCCAGGATATATTGCAGGAAAACTATACAGATGATGGTGAAAAGAAAGTGACAGTCTAAAACAGGTTTTTACATGCCTTTGGGGTCTTTGGATAAAAAGAAACACAACACAAGTGACTGACTGACAATGTTAATATGAAAGACACACTAGTAGGTAAATACAAAAATTAAACATACAACATGTGAATTCTATTATAAAAATCATACATCTTGTATCTATTCTTTTATGCAACGTTCTTTCTTCACAAACATAATTACATAAATTCATAAGATAGAATCCAACCAGCTATTTGATTCATACGTTCTATGCAGTATACTATTTTACAAAACAATTATGTAAAAAGAAGGAACAACACCAGCAAATTTAAATGGCAAATAATAATTCGTTAAATATCCACCAAGGCCGTTCACTTAAGCATTACAAAGTTGAATTTATAAAATGGAGCTGTCCTGCGTAGAATCGGGAAAAGTTCGAAATTAATTTAAAGGAATTAAAAATATTCTAATGAATCAAACTCTTTGTGAAACAAGTTTATCTTTTGCCGCCCGTATAGATCCCGGTAAACCTGCTGATACGTCCAGACGTGCCAGGATCTCCCAACTATCAACTGATCAATTTTTATGTATAATAAGACTGTCCTGAAACTGGAAGCAGGACAAGCCCATTAGAAAAATCATCAAATTAAGGATCAAGTAACCTACACAAAAATCTGATGAGAAATATTATTTTACAGAATAATTAAAGTGACCACGCCGCAGCTTAAAAAAGAAACATAACAATCTACAAAACAAATAGGGGGTGGGTTTCAGTCAATTCTATTGATTATGTAGCTTTTCATCTGTATTGGTAAACTGACATAATATTATATGAAATCAACTGAGGTTCACAATATAAGCCAGTAACATGACATGCCGTTGATAAAAATAAATAACGAAAAATAAAAAAATGAATTCTTTCTATAGACTATATGAATCAAGTAGAAAAGATACAGATATAATCCATTATAAAGTTCAGGTTGAATCAATATGAAATCAAAAGCATAATGTTACATTTTTCGAAAAAAAATCAAAACAAAACAACAACAAAAACACTTAAGATTTGTTTTAGATACCATAGGACAACTTGCTTAAAATTCACAAAATGAAACCCTTGCTAACCATTTAAGAGACATTAATTTATTGTTCTTATATCTCTTAAATATTATAGTAGGTATTATCAGGTTTACGTCCTTTTAAAATATATAATTTTTTTTATATGTATTTAGTATAACAACAAGAATTAAAAATTTTTTTACTTGTACTTCCACACAAAATATTTTCTTTTAAGCAATTGCAAACAGAAAAATTGCACCCTTTCTCAGATTTTTAAAGGTGGTAAAATAGGGAACCTGAAGGTGACTCAACATAGCAAAGTTGAAACTATTGCAAACCCATTTCGCTTGAACCTGTTCCAAACCCTAACAATGGCTTTAGCAGAATTAATTCTGATTTTAAACCTTTTATTTTTGAAGGAGAAGAATTTGAAGTATTTCCCCATCTTATATAACATATTCAATCAATAGTGTAAATACTTAATATTATACATAAGAAATAAGACAGTTCTCATCTAATCAGTACTCTTTTTTTGTACATCATTTAGTGCATAAATATGCAAATTAATCAGTTACACAGTTGTTCAGTCTATATTTATTTAGAAATAACAGTAAAAATGTATTTGAGCCGTGTCACGACAAAACCAGCATAATGGGTTTGCGACCAGCATGGATCCAGACCAGCCTGCACATCCGCGCATTCTGATCAGGATCCATGCTGTTCGCTTACCAACCCTATTACAAGTTGAGAAACTGATAGTGAACAGTATGGATCCTGATCAGACTGCGCGGATGCGCAGGCTGGTCTGGATCCATGCTGGTCACAAATGCACTATGTTGGTTTTGTCGTGACACGGCTCATTTGTTATGACAATGGAAAAGTAGTCATGGGGTATGTTTGAAAAATACAAAAAGATTAAAGAATGAATGAAAACCTATGTATTAAGAACAGATTTAATCCTTTACTCCGCTGGAAATTAAAGTGATTACACTTGGGCACTAGTATAAAGCCAGGCCAGTTTGTACAGCTTTGCAACCTGACCAGGCCTCAAAATGAAATAGGTATAGAACAATTTTGCAAGAAAAACATTTCTCTACAATTATTATACTCCTTATGGAATTTGTTTTCCTAAGTGAGTATGTCAAAGTACTATCTTTATGAGCTAATCCCTGTTTCAACATATTTTCTTCTAATTTCCAATCTCATTTAAAACATAACCTTATCTTAAAACATATCAACCTCTGAAGAATTTATTCAAGAAGGCCAATTAAGAAAAAAAACTACTTACGAAAAAAGAAAAATAATAACAAATAAAAAAAAACAAACAAAAAAAACATAAGAATAGTAATCAACACAGCTCTGCTGAAATTTTTTAAATGTAACATACGAGGGATGTCCGGAAAGTTCATTAACTTCTTCATTTTTTATACTATAACAATACATATGTTGTACAAATTTTGTCAGCACAATTATACATATCTAGCGAACACATTTATAAAAGATTACTGAACTGTGAGTTACATTTGTATTTTAACAGTAGTTACATACAACATATATACATCGTCATGGAGCACTTTGACAACGTCAACGGCGTCAAATTAACTTCACGTTTACAGATTATTCAATTTCTTCCGTTTTCAACAGCCATGGTACCTGTATGGCGTATACTTAATACATGTTTGTTTCTTTGCCATTACTTTATGAATTTCATATACTCAAATTAATTTAAAAACAAAGATGTCACTGGTTCCCATACAGTGTGTGTGAGATGTCTGTCTTTTTCAAAGAATTTTATAACGCAATCTATGATATTTTGGCCATGCTACTTATGGTCATCTGGAGCGCTCTTTAACCTAATTCTGTCATTACTGCTTCTTAATCTTGTTTGACATTTGAACACAAGATGCATTTAACAATGTACGATTAATTTTGTTTTTTAAGTAAAGATTAAAATCTCAGTTGGTGTCATACTTGCGTTGCTATGCAGTTAAATAACATTACGTTGCTCCGTCTTTGAATTATTGCAACACAAAATTTACGCACTGTCATTGCCTCTTTCTGTCGTAAACAAGCTGTTTATGTGCCCATGACGTCATAATTTTCATTAAATATCATGCAATAGTATCATTTGATGTAATGAGTTTAAACGAGAGTTTGCGTTAAAATGGCAATTTTTAGCAACTTATCATTCGAGTAGCTATATTAAAGAAATCAAAGTGCTCCGTGATTCGTTGATCATGGTGCCATGATGAATGGCACTTTGCGAAACTATCTTTTATCATGTTGTTTTTTAATTTAGAAATATGTAGCAGATAAATACTTAAGCAAACTTTTCAATCATCATATTCATATGACTGCTTATTATAATTTTATAGCCTTGTCTACTAACTTTCCGGGCAGCCCTCGTATATGCCATAAATTTGAAAGAGTTTAATAAATACTGTGGAAAATAACATAAAAAGATAGGAAAAAACGAAATTAGAAGCATTTACCCCTCATTGACACAAGCAAATAAGTTTTACTTGACAAAACCGCTCAGTTCCACCCTTAACCTGTTGGAACTGAAAGTGATGAGTCACTGGCACCGGTATAGAACCAGGCCAGCTGGAGCAGTCATGCTTGGGTAACCAGACTCTATACTGTTTACCGGTATAAAGCCGGACCTGGTGGAAGAGTTGAGCTGGCTGACCAGGCTCTATACTGTTTGCAAACTAACTCTTTATAACTGACAGTTCCAGTTTGACACAGCCATTACAGAAATTCAGCAGGTTAAATGTTCTTCATTTGATTTGATTTATTAGTTTCACAGACAAATTGTAAAATATACAACAAAACAATGAATAAATAGCATACTTATTTACAATCATTTATCCTAAATAACAAAAAAATTCAGTGTAAAAATTTACAAGTGCATGCAAAAGTTATTCCATTAACTGTTATTATCCAATATGGAAATAATAGCAATGAAGTTGGGGGGGGGGGGACTGTTTTACTATTTTAAGCCGCAAAAAAGACACACTGATATGTTACTATTCATGAACAGAAACACGTTTTATTTTATAAAAAAAAAAGACAGCAATGAACTTAAAATACCAATGTACAAAAGCTTTTTTCTTTGTTTTAATTAACTTCTAAAAGAGCATTTCAAAAGTTTATTTATATTTTTGAATATGATTATTTAACTCTTCTTGAATCAGAACAAAAAACCCTTGAGAATATTTTTAAGGGTAACATGGAAACATGTTGCTGAGAAAAAGTTTTTACAATAATGAGCATCACCATTACAGTACAGCCTCTACAGAACAACCCTCTCTCTTTACAACAAGCCAGACTAAAAAAAAGTCGGATCATTACATTAAATTTCGTTTCTGGTATACACCGAACAAGGTGTTTGAATGATTAAATGCTAAAATCTCGCCTTTTCACCTGCCAAAATGTACATTTAGATGTCTATTCTATATTTTCACACTGATTTATGTACTAAAATAAATGAAAACTGTAAGAATCACCTAAAAATGCAATATTTTTCTACTTTTTTTATTTCATGATGTCTGCCAGCATCTAGAGGTACTGCTTCAACATTGTAATGGGTTTACTCCCTTTACAACAGTTATAGCAGTTCTTCACAGAGAAACAATACAGATAACATTATAACCTCTCTAGAGCTAACACCTCTCTGTAACAACCAAAATATTTGTCTAACAAAGGGGGTTGCTGTGCAGGGGTTACACTATACTCACAGAAAATATAAAAGCATTCAAAACCCCTTGTAATACAAAAACAACTTTTTAAAAATTGTTTTATATAAAATATAACAATTTATCAAAATTCACCAAGACTTAAAATTTTTACATTCTATTTTTGCAACAGGAGAAAAACCATTGCATTAAAAAAAGAATATAAATTTTTCATAAGCACTAACTTATTGCACATTGTTCAATACATACACTACATACAATTCAGCTTAATTTCTATACAATAACATTTTTTACATTTACATTTTATGTCATTCCTTATTAAATGGAACTTAAAACTTAGAACAGGTATTCATACTTAAATACTAGTTGTACTTTAAACCATTATCTAATTGAGGGATTACTCAGAACTTAAATTCAAACTGTACACACATGAAAGAAAGTAGCAGAGACCTCAAAATGTCAAATTATTATATAACAGAGTTTAGCTTTGAGCTCTCTCTCAATAAACATGATGAATTAAGAGTTTTGCATGCAGCTCTGAAAAAAAAAAACCCAAGAAAATGTAAGTTCACTGGTCCATTAAGCACAACAACTATCACAACATCCATTATCTTACTCATAAAACAAAACAAAAAAACACAAAAAAAAACAAACAAGAGCACCACGTACAGTGTTATCGCTTGCCTTATAAATTACATGTAACATCAGTGCTATGGCTAACTCTTTCAAAAAATGTCTTTATAACTTATGAAAAATATGTTTCTGATATTGTAAAATATAAACAGAACATTCGCTACTCAAGAAAATATGTTTTTTTCTATGTTTTAAAACTGAAAGGATCAGAACTGTGATGAAAATGTGATAAAAGTGATGTATTGTTCTTGTATCAGAAGAATTTAGATCTGCATCCATGTTCACAGTTCATCCCTCCATATTTCAATACAATTAAAGATAACACAGCATATATTCAAGATGACATGAATACAGATTTAAACAATTACACATATGCAACCCTGTCATTACACATTGTGCATTATCAGTCCACATCTTGTCACCTTAATGCAATAACAGGTTAAGTCCTTCTAAATTTAATAGTAGTTAACCAATTGTTGCACTAAGGTGACAAATTCTGTTCATTTCAATGCTGAGAAGGTCTGTTTTTAAGTGTTTACAAATTGAAGTTTTAACAAACAAAAAATTTAAAAAAAAGATCAAAAATCGAGAAAATCCTTCAACAATGTTAATCTCCTTTTTTCAGCAATATCCATCTGATTTTCAAGGTCCTGAAACAAGAACAATTACTATTATTACATTTTTGTTGTTGGGGTTTTACATTACACAATCACAGTATAGGTTATATGGCGACTTACTTTTAAGCTTTACTGGGAGGAAAAGACCTCAAATGCCCCTCTGTGTATTTCTTAAAGCATGAATAGTTACTTAAGTAGAACCAAGTGGAACCACCAACTAAAGATGTTAGCTGAATGGCTTTCTTTACAACTTAGCAAATAAAGTCCCTGGTGGGATCAACCCATTGCAGTGAGGGGCAAGTGATTTAAAGGTCAACCACCTTAACCTTAATTGGTCACAGGCGACCTCACAAAAACAAATAGAATAATCCAAACATTACCATGAACATCTACACATACCTTTTTTTCAGCCTATGCTATCAGAGTGTCTACTCTTAACAGTACATTGCTTTGTTTTTTTGTTTGTTTTTTTTTCTCAATAAATGTCAATCACCGTTTTGGAAACATGTGCCTTCCAACATGCCAGATGACAGTTTCCTGTCTTGGTGTTATAAAAAGTAATCACATTGGTGTGGATTGTGGAATAACAGAATCTCATGAATTCTCAAATGTAAATTAAGCAACAAAATTTTTTTTATCTCACCCCTCTATCAGTTATCTCAGCTCTCTCAACTTTCCATGACAGATTCTCAACCTCAGCTTCTAGTTGGGCTTGCTGGTACTCAAACTATAAATAGAAAAAAAGAGTCATTTTTGCTGGTAACCAAATTTTAATACAAACAAAAAAAGCAAACAAAAACAACCACCTGTCATTTTTGCTGGTACACAACCTTTAAATAGAACTAAAAAAACCAGCTTTTTACTTTGCAGTAACAATTTCTATATATAAATGAAAGAAACAAATAAACCATTTTGTTCGTTCTTTACCAGTAAGAACTAGTTCCTTTTGTCGCAGACCAAGGTCATTTTTCAATAAATCAAAGTAAAACTTGTACCCAAATGTGTGGTGTAGCAGAAGGAAACTATTGAATAAAAAAACAATACATTTGGCTAAGATTAAAGTTGTCTCCAGATAGACAGACCTAACACCATCTCTTCTTTTCGTTTGGTTTTACAATGCACCAACACAATACAGTCTAACTTGCCCATGCGACCACGTGTATTAAGCGACTTTTGTCTTAAACGACCACTTTAAATTCCCCCCGATCATTTTCTCTCTATATTTTTAATGTATTAAGCGACTTTTGCTCAACGCGACCAGCGACCGCTAATTAGTCACATAATTGAGAACAATCTTTTCATTAAACGACCACTTTTACCTGTCAAGTAATTGTGTTTTTAGAGAACGCCGCATCGTAATTTCACAAGTGTCAACAATCAAAACACAACAAATAAATGTGTGAAAAACTCTATTTCCCAAACCGTTTTAGCGTAAGCAGTATACGCGTGACGTGTATTATCCAATAATATCGATTAAACAATTTAACGCTCCGCCCCTACTGATGTGGTGTATACGCTTCGCTTGTTGACAATTAGACTGCATTGAATTGACCTTGAACTTGATCAGCAATTAAATTAGATGTATTTTGTTTATTTCGAATGAAAAATGCACGACAGAAAAAACATCCTCACTAATAGGGTTTTCGTGTTGGAGACAAGGAGAAGCAACGGAGAAGTTAAAAAATCTGGAAAAAATGTCAAAACATGTACGTAATGGATCAAAACTGTTTTGTAAATAAATAACAGAAAGTTATTTTTTACAGACTATCGAGCGTACTAATTATTCACCATTTATATAAAAATGAAGTTGTTAAACATTCCCACCGCATAAGAAAGATGTCATTTCTAAATTTTGACTTTTATGTCATGCTTTGTGTTAAGAGACCGTTTCATTAAGCGACCATTTTGGGTGTTTCCCTTGCACGGTCGCTTAATACAAGTTTGACTGTATACATGATATGGTGAAGAATCGGGGAAGATTTTTTTGGTTAACCTTGTGTGTTACAAACCTAAAACAAAACCAGGGGGCAAAACCAGTTCACCTGCTGAAGCTTAGAGATGCATCGACTCCAGTAATTTCGAACTCATGTAGCGGCCTCTTACAATCATGCAGAAAACTGTGGCTAATATGCTGATGTCTTGACCCTAAGAGGCAACTGGGGGTTTTATGATCTACCATTGAAATTCATTAAAATAACATACGTGCAACATATTGGCACAAAAATAGCAACAAGCCATTTTTAGGATATTAAAAATCTTGAAGTTGTACCCACCAGCTGTTTTCTTGCACACTTTTCCATGTAATATGCGTAGGGGTAAGTATACTGGAGTGTATATCTGCACTGAAAACAAAAAGCAACATAAAATGAGTCAAGTGTTTTTGTTTTTTGGTTGGGTTTTATGTCGCCCCAAAACAGTATAGGTCATATGGCGTCTTTCCAGCTTTTCGGGTAGAGGAACACCTCAGGGTACCAGAGTAGAACCAGAGCTAAACCACCAATGTTCGGTAAGCTAGCTGAATAAAATGAGTCAAGAAACTAGCAGTTTGAGAATAGATGGGACAATAAGACAACAAATATATCTAAAGAATAAGTTCATCCCTATCCATATCTCATTTCAAAAATACAGAAACAAAGAAGAATTTTAAAACCAGAATAATTCTACTATTTGCACATTTTTCAGCTTTCATACCTATTTGTAGGAGAACAGGACTTCCCCTTCACAAGGTCATAATGCCCCCTATTTGCAACTTTTCTGTGAAAATCTGTTTATATCTAATAGGTAGAATTATACTAACTTTTTTGAGAAGGTATGCAGCATCTAACAGGTACTGCCAATCTATCCATGTGCCCATACTGTTCATGACTTTCTCTTGTATACGTGATGTGATTGACTCTAATGTCTGTTCTTCCAGCTTCAAACTTTTGGCATGATTCTCCCACTACCATTATCAAATGATTAAAACATTATTATTTTCATGATCTGCGTTATCATGTGGACAAAAACATAACAATTCTTTTCATGATCTGCATTACCATTTGGACAAAAACATATCAATGTTAGACTTAAAAACATTGACACTATAAAGGTCATCTAGATATGGTGAAAGTTGGTACCAAAGTAGAATTAATGCTTTAAAAAATACTAGCTCTAGATTGCTTCCTCAAATGGAAGATTCAAACCCATGTTGGTGTGGGTTAAGAAATTTAGTGTCAAGGAACACTAGTCCCAGAGGCTCTCCGATGTTAATTATGATATAGTTTGTTACAGATAATTAAACAAACCTTTAATTATTACTTACTAATAAAACTATTTTTTTATCTAAGCAAAAAAAAATATTATGTTTTACTGACAATCTAAAAGAAGCAGAACCCACTTACCCTCTCAAAATAAAACAGGTACTTCTTCAGTGCTTCTCTAGCTTGAGCATGGACTGATTCATTGGCAATATTGGGGTTTTCCTGTAAAGATAATTTATGGTCAGATATTTTTTGCAAAAAAAAAAAAAAAAAAAAAAAATATCAACAACAAACATTAAACAAGAAACATCACAACATTTTCTTATTTCTTAAGTTGAACACATTAAAGGAAGAATATTACAGAAATAAAAGTGAACACCTACAAAACATATTTTTGGGTACCAAAAAAAAAAAAAAAAAAAAAAAATCATAATTGACCTTGACAGTCAAAATTATAAAAGGTCAAGGTCACTTTTGAATTAATCATCATGTCCATTTTGTTAATGTATGATTCAAATCTGTAAATATATAACAAAGTAAAAAATATCATTGTATACTCAACTTCTTTAAAACATCGGGGAATTTTTGTTTGTTTTGTTTTGGGTTTTACGTCACATCGACACAGTATAGGCCATATCGCGACGTTCCAGCTTTATTGGTGGAGGAAGATCTCAGGTGACCCTCCGTGCAATATTTCAGGCACGAACGGGCACCTGAGTAGAACCACCGACGTTCTGTAAGCTAGCTGGATAGCTTCCTCACATGAAAGAATCGAAAGTCCCCGTCGGGATTCGAACCCACAGCGGTGAGTGGCAAGTGGTTTGAAGTCAACGACCTTAACCACTCGGCCACGGACGCCCGGGATTAAAACTATGAATAATAAACTGTCAATACATACACCAGACTTGTCGTCAATAAATTTTGTAGAATTACATTTCAATGTCAAACTGCCTTTTAGACATTAACAAACAAAGAATATCAGAAAACAAACAAACATGATTAGTTTATATTTTTTCCAAAATAACTATTTACAAGCCCTAAAACAAGTCCAAAGTTTCAATTAAAATAGACATACCTTATATCTGCTGCATTCATAGTATTCACTACCATGGGCCTTCCAATCCCCTAAACACATCCAGCAAAAGTCATATTTACATTTGGAACATTGCTGAAATATTACATGAAATTTCATATTATTTAACTATTTATGCTTGTGTTATCAATTTCAAATCTGCTGTTATCAATTTCAAATCTGCTGTTATCAATTTCAAATCTGCAATCTGCCCATCATCAATTCTGGAGGACAATATTTAAAGCTTATCACTTTTGGTTCCGATAGGGTATAATAATAAGGGGTGTGATATTTGTCAGTTTCAACAACTTTGGCAGATTTTTAGCCAAAAATCCAGTTAGAAAATTCAATCACTGGTATCTGAGGTTAGTGTAAGACAATAGCCAAAGAAGTTAAAGAAATTTTTCTATATTACCTATGTTTTCCTATGACAAGATATGAATTTTTTTTTTTTAATTTATTGTGGTTGTAGTGGATAATAATTTCTCTTGTAATCTTGTCAAACACATTAAAATATGAACTAAATGTCATATCATGTCATAGAGAAACAAAGATCATATTCAAAATTAGAGTTCATTTTGTATGGTTGATTAAACGTTCAAGATGGTTATAAGGTCACCATTTAAACGGTTAGCATTTTTACTTACATAATGTACACCACTAATAATAAATTATAACAAAAGCATGGCATGCGGTGCTAACACTCATCTGTTAATGGCAAAAACAACATACATAACCAAATTTTGAAAATTTTCTAAGTTATAAAGGGGCATAACTCATAACTTAAATAAATTAAAAATTGTATCTTTGAGCTATTCTTAGCCTGAATTTATAAAAAAAAAAAACATTGCAAAACTTTTAAATTTTGGGTCATTTTTTACAATTAGAAAAATAATTCTTGAAAAAATGGCGTGGGCAAATGATCTATATATTGTATATAAACATGCTAACATGTTACCCTCAGTGATTTTTCTCACTTAATTGGGAAGAGGCCTGAGTCTCTTGATTTTGGGCAAAATTATCGCTAAAATTGCTGATTTGGGAAGTAAAAAAGCTGGTTTAAGTTCAGATTTTTGGGAAAACTGCATGATTTTAAAGAAAATTTCAATTGGGAAGAGGCCTTTTTTCGGAGTCTGTTATATAAGTAGGAAAATCACTGACCCTAACTATATATTAGTAAAGTCCATCCCATGAACCCAAAGAATAATTCTGCAAATAAACTTTGACAGTAAACAATTATATTTTCATTATCAATGACAACATGTTTACCGCAAATTGTATATAAACATGCTAACAACCCTAACTACATATTAGTAAAGTCCATCCCATGAACCCAAAGAATAATTCTGCAAATAAACTTTGACAGTAAACAATTATATTTTCATTATCAATGACAACATGTTTACCGCAAATTGTATATAAACATGCTAACAACCCTAACTACATATTAGTAAAGTCCATCCCATGAACCCAAAGAATAATTCTGCAAATACACTTTGACAATAAACAATTATATTCTCATTATCATTGACAACATGGTTACAGCAAAATAGTATATTAACATGCTAACAATCCTAACTACATACAGTAGAACTTCGGTAAGTCGAAGTTGAAGGGACTTGCGTAAAAACTTCGACACATCGGGACTTCGACTCATGAATCGCTCTCAATTCCATGACAAAATTTCGACCCGTGACTAGTCCTAATTATAAGCTCTATAACGAAACATATTTCATGTTTTTCCATCATTAATCTTATCTTTAAATTTTACAATGATAAATATAGCATGTCAAATTACGTTTTTCACGACTACCCAAAGATTTACAAAAGGCGTATGATTACGGAAGGGCTATAACTAAACCAGCTTATAGTAAATATTTCGCGTGTTATTCTCACGCGACACCGGGTCAAGGATGTTTTCAAATGAAAGTAGTGAAGTAGTTCTTACTGTTTACTTTCAAATACCACTACGGCAATTAAAAAAGTTACGATTAAAGCATTTTATCACATATTTTATCGCAAACAAAGGCTGCTTGAACACACGGCTGTGTTATTAACACCTATCACACAAGTTGATTGGAAATCGTCTTCGCAGCCAGATAAGGTGTGAAAAATGTCTCGAGGTCAAAGGTGTCAAAACAATCCAACGACTTCGACTTATTTGTGGTAAATTGCACTAGATTTACTTTATACGGACCACGAAAAAACCTCGACACATCGAAAAATTCGACACATAAAATTTCGACTCATAAATAGGTTTTTATAAGGAATATATAGGGGGGAGAGTCGGGACTTTCATTTTTATTCGACACATCGAGAAAATCGACTAATCGAAGTTCGACTCATAGAAGTTCTACTGTATTAGTAAAGTTTATTCTTATATCGACTTAAAGGAACCAAGAGCTGTCACAGGAGACGGCAAAGCTCGACTAATAAAATACTGGATGCAGTTAGGAGGACAAAACTATGAAAGAAAAATCAAGTATGTATCAATTATGTATAATTATGTATTAAGTTATAGTAAAAAATCACATTTGTTCACATAAATTCCAAGATCAAGGGGAATAATTCTAGAAAAAGTCACGCTAGAGTTATGAACCTTGTCACACAACATGTGTGTAATGATAAGAAATATATATTTGAAGTTTGAAGTAGATACCTTAAAAAGTAAAGAAGTTACAATATTTCTTCAAAAAATCCTAAGTTCAAAGAGAGATAAATCTGTAAATATTGCTTCAAGAGTTATGAACATTGTCACATAAAATGTAATTGATGATAAGGAATAAGTATTTCAAGTTTGAGGTAGTTACCTTTAAAACTAAAAAGTTATAGTAAAAAATAATATTTTTCTAGTAAAAAAAATCTAAGGTTATGGGGAGATAATTCTTGCAATATTGGTGCTAGAGTTATGAACCTTGTCACATAAGATGTGGATGATGATAAGGTTCATATATTTGAAGTATGAAGTTGATCCCTTTAGAATTAAATAAGTAACAGTAAAAAATAATATTTTCTAAGGAAAATTCTAAGTTCAAGGGGAGATAAATCTGAAAATATCGGTGCTAGAGTTATGAACCTTATCACATAAGATGGGGATGATGATAAGGTACAAATATTTGAAGTATGAGGTTGATCCCTTATGAAATAAAGAAGTAACAGTAAAAAATAGTATTTTTTAAGGAAAATTCTAAGTTCAAGGGGAGATAAATCTGAAAATATTGGTGCTCGAGTCATGAACCTTGTCACAATGTGGTTGATGATAAGGAACATATATTTGAAGTTTGAAGTTGATATCTTGATATTTTACTGCACCAAAACTTTAACACGGACGCCGGGGCGAGTAGGACAGCTCTCCATATACTTCGTATAGTCGAGCTAAAAATAATTTCTGTCGGATGTTGTACAATTTAAGACATTTTGTCCGCCAATGACGTTGTTATACCCATAACAGTTGCCAAGGATACGCAACGTCGTCGTGTTAAAAAATGGGCTTTGATGGTCAACTTTGACGTCGTGTGTACAAAAATTGGCTAAAATTAATGGAATAGAATTAACAGAATCTAATCATTAATATGGGCCAATTTTTAAGACACTACTCTAAAGTTCGCAAAGTGTCGCGTTCTACCTAAATAACACTTTTCCCCCAGTACAGAGCCTGGCAAGCCTACACATATGTGGATAGTCTAACAAGATTCTATACTGTTGATAGCTCAGTTTTTAAATTTTGATATTGAAATCACCTTAAAATTTAAATGGACTGTTCCAAGATCAAAGTTAGACACATTGGGACAGTAGGTGGACAGGACAGACAAGGACAGATGTATATTACCCCTAAGCAATATACCCATCCCCCACCCTAGGTAGTAGAGGGCTTAAACATTTAGCAAAATAAGGGTAAATATACCCAACCCCCACCCTAGGCTAAGTAGTAGAGGAATAGATCACCCTCGGGTTTGGATTTCCCTATCCTCTATCTAACCAGATGATAGATTCTAGTAATCTATTTTTGTAAAGAACCACTAAATGATCATTCCTAATGAGTTTCATCAAAAAACGCAGGGGTCATGGTGAAAATGTTGTTAAAATGTTTATTTTTAGCTCTCACAGACATCCAGTTCAGCAGACCTGAACAAAAGATCATTCCAGTAGTGTATGAGCAAAACTAGCCAACAAGTTTTAGAAGAAGATGCTGATGGAAACAAAAATTGTCACCAGATAAAAGTTGATCTTAATACCTAATATGCTTGCGCTAAAAATAACTCACCATGTGATTACAGCCACCATTCTTCTCTATACAGACATGGCACTTTGGACACTGAAATATATACACAACAATTCTCTTTAAACAATTAAGTTCATTTTTGCACACATCAAAGACAAAATAATTAAAATTGAATTTGTTTATTATATAAGTAGATCAATATAGCTCAGCTTTCAAAAGTTACTGTAAAATCAAGGCCTTGTATTGAAGCAGTTTTTCATGTACTCCATTTTCTAGTAAAATCAAGTCTAACAGTGTTTGTCTTTTACAAAAGCTTTTGCTTAGTTCAATAGGAAATCCCTTGAATTTTTTTACACAAGGAAGTTTAAAAAAGCTTCCATTCTTTTCTCTTTTTCATTACCTGTTTCAATGTTCCTATACCCCGGCCCCAATTTGGACAGTGCTGGTGGCATTCATACAAAATATTAAGAAAATAAGGCCTGCATTTTAATCATTATGTTTGGATTAATAAAAATTGAGCCGCGTCACGACAAAACCAACATAGTGCGTTTGCGACCAGCATGGATCCAGACCAGCCTGAGCATCTGCTCAGTCTGATCGGGATCCATGCTGTTCGCTTACCAACCCTATTACAAGTAGAGAAACTGATAGCGAACAGCATGGATCCTGATCAGACTGTGCAGATGTGCAGGCTGGTCTGGATCCATGCTGGTCGCAAACACATTATGTTGGTTTTGTCGTGACGCGACTAAAATGTTTTAACAAAACACTGAAAAATCTAACTTAAACTTAATGTTTGGCCAGATATGCAATATGCAAGGTGGTCAGTACACATACTGATTTCATAAACCTTTTATTATCACAAAAAGTAGAACAAAATTAAAGTTATACTAAGTAAGGCCATTTTTTTTTTATATTTTGGTTTTCTGATTTTTTCCAAAAAAAGGTAGGGTCGGAGGAGGAAAAAAAAAAAAAAAAAAAAAAAAGGAGAAGAAAAAAGTTTTCATAATTATCTTCATGTCTGGAAGGTGAGATACTATATAAGTATCCCTTCTCTTATGATTAGTCCATTCCCATTCTGATAAATGTGATGCGTATGTTGTACTTACGAGAGAAATTAAATGACCGACCGACTGTCTAAATTCCACAGTGCTTATAAATACACAAAACAACAAAATAGCATCCACAAATTGATAAAATATCATGTTGCTATTATTTAATATACACACGAGATGACCTCGCCGACCCTTCAAAAGAGTCGGTAAATCTTTGATGTTCACACACATGTAGTCCCAGTTGTTTAATCCGAATCATCAAAGGTGCCGAAACTCAACTGACTTGCACTCATTTATTTATATAACAGAAGTTTAAAAACCTAGGTGTCAAGAAAAGATTACACATGTTAAATTATTGTCCAAGTCAGAGACATAGACATAATCAAGTTGAAAAATATTTCTATCGGAAAATTAGCGGTCAATTACTGACATGTAAATTATTAATAGTAAGTGCATTTTTTTATTTTGTTTGAAAGGAAACCCGTATCTAATCTCCTTTTAAAGACTATTGTTTTTGTTAAATCTGTAAATAGTGATCTTGTCACTATATTTCTTTTTAAATTTAATTTAATCTGATTCTCGTTGAATAAGATTTCTCTCGCTGTATCCATGAAAGTGATAACTTGCGTATTTTGGCTTTTTTTTATTTTTTTTTTGTAGTTGTTTTTCTTGACATTTCTACACAATTGGACCTTCAAAACATATGATTTTATACATACATACATGAATTATATTTTAAATATATAGATATTAACCTAATTAATTTGGCGAGAATGGTTTAACTCATTTTGCAGACATTTTTCTTCATGCAAAATACATCGCCGTCAAAAATTATCTCCACGTTTCTTTGACAAGTCTAATAAGTAATAAGTTGGACTTCTATAAATCTCCCATAGAACATTTAGATCTAAATTTGATTAGCGCATATTTTGAGTACTTTTTTTTCGGGACAGATTTTTTTTTTTTTTTCATTTTCCCAAAAAATGGATGCGGCGGGTCAGTAAACCGAAATATCAAAAAATAATGGCCTAAAGCATATGTAATAAGCATTTAAAGAGATTAAAGTGTACTACTCACATCTTTGGTATTAGCCGAAATATAATTGGCCGTCTCCGAGTCGTCTGCGCATTTTGTCAACCATTTTTTGATCACATCGCAGTCAGTTGGAGCATGATACTCAATACCACATTTGAAACTGTAAATACAGAAATACAACCTTTACAAATACATGTACACTTACACAAAGTTTAAGTAATACTGGTTTTCTATATTGCTGTTTGTTTATAATATATGAAATTTGAAAGAATTAAAAAAAATTATTTGTTAAAATAATCAGATTCTGTTAAATGCACATTATACCTGAAAAATTCATTTATTTTTTATTTTTAAGAACTGTCAAACAATTGTTTAATGTTTAAAATGTTTAAATAGTGGATTCAGAGCATGATAGATGTTTAACAACTGAAGAGAATAGCACTGAACATGCAGTAATGATTTGTAAAGGTAGCAAAATGTAAACAAAGAAGTATTTTGACTTCCATTCAAAATACTAATTTACTATAATTATACCAATTACTAACAGAGCAACAGAAGCTGAAAGAAGTTCACATATATGGCAAATGAGCATTTTTTTTTAAACTGTAACAAGATAACAAAAATAAAATGTTTTAAAGCATTAGAATGATAGCATGTATGAGTCATACTGGGTCTTTAAAATAATCTGATTCTGGTTTTCTTTATTGATGTTTTTTTTTCTATATTGATGTTTGTTTATAATACTAGAAATTGAGTGTGTTCAAATATTTCTTATTGTCAAAATAATCTGATTAAAGATATACTATGCTCAAATTTGATATAAAAATATTCATAACTTCAACACAATCTCCTTGTAGATATAAAATAATCATGTTTTGATTAACACAGAGTAGGTATGTTATGTTTAAAACTCAGTCACAATATGAATATGTGCCGCGTCACGACAAAACCAACATAGTGCGTTTGCGACCAGCATGGATCGAGACCAGCCTGCGCAGTCTGATCAGGATCCATGCTGTTCGCTATCAGTTACTTTACTTGTAATAGAGTTGGTAAGCGAACAGCATGCATTCTGATCAGACTGCGCAGAAGCGCAGGCTGGTCTGGATCCATGCTCGTCGCATTTGCACTATGTTGGTTTTGTCGTGACGCGGCTCATATATAGTGTATACAGCCAGGCCAGCCTGAACATCCAGACATTCTGGCCAGGCACTATACTGCTGGTAGCTCAATTACTGTGCTTTGATATTGAAATGCCTTAACTTAATAGGACTGTTCCAAAAACAAAACAGGGAAATTCCATTACACAGTTTACAAGGGTTAGTAGTTACTCTACTACATCTAATTAATCAAATATCACTCAAACTTTATATTTTTACATCATCACTATGACTTACTAGCTTTAGCAAATATCGACCTGTATTTGTTTGACAGACCTGTTTTGAATTTAAATCATTTGTCGTTAGTTTGTAGGATTTCAGTACCAAATTAAACCAATATCAAGATTTGAACAACAAACAGTATAGAGCCTGGTCAAATTTCATCAAGTTTCAGGCTGGCCTGGCTATATACTGGTTGCATAAAGAAGTAAAATGAAATTCTAAACCTTCTCATACATCTTGTTCACATACCCTGAATATTTTTTTTTTGTATAATCTTTTCTCTTTAGAGTACCTTATCTAAAATGGAGATCTTTTGATAGTAATCAAATTACAATTACAGAATCAGAATTAAGCAGTTAGTTAATTGGATTTGCTTGTATGATATGGAAGACGCTGAGGGCAATAAGTGTGTATGATGTTTTGTTCAAAGACCTGCAGGATAGTGACAGCGATGTAAGCATAAGAATGTGTGACAAACACTGATGTACAGGATGTCTTAACTTCCTTAGAACAATTCATCCTAGCTGTTGCAGGAGCATATAATTATTATGTTTTTGTAAACCTGCATGCTTGTAACAATGATTTTTATTGGATAATGTGATGTTTCTATTATCTATATACAAAAAGGGAAAAGAGTCAACTCGGCCCTATACCAACTCGGCACGGGTCAACTCGGCCCACTTTACAAAAATATATATAACGTATTAACTTTGCTTTGCATGTTGTTAATGTAAATGAATAATAAGAAATATCTTATTATTATATAATTATACATTGTACTTCTTCTGAAATAAAGTATATTTAGAAAAAATGTTATTTATCTGTCTTGCAGATTCAATAAAATTAATATAGATCTAGATTCTAATAAAATGTGTTTCCTTAGATGCATTTTGTTTGTAAAGTAATATTAAAAAAATATGAAACAAAAACATGTTTACTTAATATCATAAGCTTCTAATTAAATCTTCCGTATAAGCGCATTGATTGCTGCAGAAATTCATTTACACGTGTCATACGTTTTTTTTCTTCTATCAAATAGAAAGACCTTGTCTGTGCATTATCTAGTTAAAGTTATAAAGAACATAACAGAAGTTAAATATGTAGAAATACAGTGAGATACGCAATCGGTTATCTTTACTCACAATTCTACTGATAAGAAAAGCTTGTCTGCTGCTAGTTCGAAACTGTCAATCCGTGCAGGTATATATATTAATATACGTACCTGGTCCGTGTATTATAAATAATTACAATAAATAGTGTTAACACAAACCTAAATATTAATAATTGAAAAGTGGGCCGAGTTGACCCGTGCCGAGTTGGAATAGGGCCGAGCTGACTCGGGGGCCCCGAGTACGTTTTAGGGCCGAGCTGACCCGGATTCTACAAAAAGCTTCTGTAGATATATGAATTATATTTTATTATTATTTTCCTACAAAGCAATTGTGAATAATTATAAATTCATATTTAAGATAAAGGAAAGGTTTAATACCTGTGTATAATGGCATGACTGACAAAAAACCATCACCAAAGTTTTAGGTGATATAATATCATATAATTCACTTTTTATTAGAATAGCATGTTAGAATGGAAACAGATATTCAATTTTTCTTACATTACAGTATAATAATTCCCAGTTTATTGTACAAATGTTTCGTAATTATTCACTCAGGCCAATCGGCCTTCCTGATTATATTCCTACACATTTGAACTCGATCAGTGCATTTTTCTACAACAATGCACTCAAAATTGATATCTATTTCTTTAACATAAAATCCATATGCACTTGGTCATATAAGTAACCCTGGACCTATCGAATAATCTTCACAACTAATTACATAAATGGACCACTTACCAAAAGCAAGACTTGCAAGTGTCACAAGATATCTTTTTGGCCTTTATTTCCTTAGACTTCACAATGATTGGACAATTTGGACCGGGACAAAATCGTAGAGCAGGATGGCTCTGAAACCAATCAGAAACAAAGGATCCAAAATATATCAATACAAAACACATAAATGACCTTAAAAAATTCTATACAAATACTTATATCTTATAAAGAATTTATGTCAAAAAGGATGAATTCAAAGTGATAGAACATTTTTCAACCCTTTCTCTACTACAGAAATGAATCCTACTAGATACTGATAGATAGGAAGAGCAAATTCATGCATGTACCCAGTCAATAAACTTTTATTAAGATCATAAATAATGTAATTACAAGTTAATTAATTTAGTTAATTAATTTTTTTCAAATCTTCTTTTTTTTATGTTATCCTTGAAAAATTTCTTTTGACATGAACTTTTTATAAAAGCCTAAGTGTTCCTAATGCTTCATCAGTCAATCATATACTTACTTTTACATATTCCAGGAAAGAGAACTGGGAATAGCGATCTCTGAGATCAGGTTTACTTAAAACACTGTAGAGAAAATCCTCTGGTACCATCACTTCACAGTCTTTAGCCATGCATGATATACCTGATAAAAGATGTGTAAAAACTTTGATGAAAACATAATGCTTCAGGATAAACATGATAATAATACACGTGTTCATTCTTTGTACATGTATTAGATAAAATATAAAATGATACCATTCATCATTTACTCTATCAAGATGGGTCAGAAATTTGTATTAAATATTTTAGAATGCCTCATTAAAAAGTATTAAAAGAATAATTCCAGTAAGACAGAATTTCTTGTTGACACTAACCCTTGATGACTAATCGAGGGTAACTCAAACCTTAGATGACTTAAAGGGGGTAACTCAAACCTTTACTGACTTAACAAGTTGATCAATTATAGAAGGTAACTCTAAACTTTGACAACCTACCCAAGGTAACTCAAACCTTTGATGACTTACCGCAGATAATTCAAACTTTGACGACAAACAAGTGGTAACTCAAAACTTTTGATGATTAACAGAGGGTAACTCAAACTTTTCATGATTTACAGAGGGTAACTCAAACCTTTCATGACATACCCAGGGTAACTAAAAAACCTTCGATGACTAATCAAGGGTAACTAGAACCTTTGATGACTTACCGAGGGTAACTCCTTGCTGAATCTGAACCTGACAATAATGATCCCAGCATTCGCCACAGAACATGTGACCACATGAAAGATCGTGCATCTCATCCCGAGATATCTGCATTAAACAGACAGTGCACACAGTTGTAGAACCAACAATCGGTTGCTGCAAAGAAAAAAAAAATCTATTTATTTTAAGTACAACACAGCTTCCCATTCATTATAGATAGATTCTTAATCTATAACTAACTGTTTAACTTTACTGGAGAAGTTAGGTAAAATGCCTGCTTCTGCCAGCACTTCAGGACTGATAGAGTATCACGGTATCTTTAAAGCTGGAACAAAAATTTATAAACATGTTGTACAGCAAAGTTACATATCGCCTTGCACATCTTACTATAGGACACTTTCAGATTCTGTACATTTTGTGAATTGTGAAAATTTAATTTTAATGATAACAATTACTCATGTAGAGAAATATTATGCTGTCATGATTAAACATTTTTAAAATAAGAACCTTCGGGATCTACGATACCAAAATGTTTAGTGTTTAAGATTGAATAAAGCTTATGGAGTGAAAACTACATCACTGCTTGAGCTAAGAGATGCATAGACACCAGTTATTTTAAACCCATTTAGTTACTTCTTACGATCACATGCACAGATAAACGGTGACTGCAATTCTGATGCCCCAACCCCTCAGCCACAAGAGCACTTTTACATTAGTTTTCATGAACAGACTCAATCAAACAGAGTCTGCACTTTTTATATAATATTGCCGCTGTCTCATTGTTTCTGAGGATCATCACTTTTCCAGATATAAGTTTTAATTTATGGCCTAGCCTTGTTCTAGTGCTACAGTGAGTTGCACTAAGGGTATTAAAGAATCTAATGCTAATTTAAACCTCATCCTGCAGGATCTTGAGGAGATCTGATAAGCCTTTTTTTATCAGGATAGAGCCAGACCTGCTTACATGTGCATGCAGTTTGGCCAGGCTAGACACTATTAGTAGCTCAAGTTTCAGGGCCTTTTCCAGCAAATTTTGAAAAATTATTCAACATTTCTGAAATTCAAGCACTTGGAAAATCTAGCACAAACATCACTTACAAGTGTTTTTTTTCTCTATTTTTTTTTTAATGTGTATAAGTCAACAGTTGAATTTTTTGGGAACAGTTGGTAAATTAGGAAAAAGAGGCTATTTAGGATTGGGAATGAGGCCTTATTTCCGCACCTGGTAATAATATGAAAATGCCCTGACTATTCAGATCTCTTTTAACTTGAAAGTACTGTTCCAAAGTCATAGCTGGACAGATCCTTAAAATATATTCCACAGGTGATGGGTTCAAATGCAATTATACCAGTATGAGGCGGATGGTTTAGAAGGCAATATATGTTGGAATTCTACAAACCTGATGTTTAACTTTTGGAATTACATTAGACTCTATCAACAACTTTGTAGGATTTTTGGAATGGCTGAAATCAAAAGAACAAAAGTAATTAAATCCATTAACAAATATATCAATGTTTATATCTCGAACAAATATCGCCAATGAAATAACCTCACCTATCGGTTTTGTCTTCAGGACTTCTTCAAATGGCAAAATTGTATTGCAATTGCTATTATAAAATACCATTTTTTGTGGAATAATTTATTTCTTCAGTAACAAAAGCAATATGATTGATAACAATCTTTAATTCTAGTATTATTATGTATATCAAACATAATTCTAATCTGAAATACCATTAACTACAAAATACAACTAGTGCAATTTTTCTTACTATTTTAAGAGAAAAGAAGAAATTAAACTTTTGAATATGGAATGCGACCAATCATTGGCCTTTCACCCATCCCAATATCACTATAACCATAAAGTCATAACAGTCGTCTCTTATTTTACCTCATTCAATAAAAAATCTTATAATGAAAAATAGTTTTGTCCAGATTAAAAGACGGGCAAGTTTACTTAAATTAAGTAATTTAGTCTGATAAGGGTAAAATATATAATTATATAAAATGTGTACAAGTTTAATAAACATACCATTCAATGACATATTCTTTCCTCCAATTGTGAGCATGTAATAGCATCTTAGCCAGTGACGGTTTGAGCTGAAGTATAAAGTTTATAATAAAAATTTAGTGAATTATGACCAAAGTCAAAAGCTGTAAAATCTACAATATAATATGCAATATATTTGACAGAAATGTGTATTATTTATCTTTATAATCAAATATATCTACAGGGCTTTTTTTCCTTCTTTAACAGGGGCTGTTACAGGTCTGCTTCTCCAAAGAAAAATTCTTTAAAATCAAGCAGTTTTCCCCAAAAATTGAATTTACATCAAGTTTTTTCTTCCCCTTTTGCAAATATACAGTGTAATTTATCCCCAAAATTAAGGGCAGGGCTGCTTCCCCAACCTGTAAAAAAAGCACTGATCTATTTTTGAGTGTGTATGTTACATAGCAAGTTTTAATGGGAGAGTGAGGCTGATATATGAGGCTGATATATGAGGCTTATAATAGGTGGCTTCTGAATTGAAATTACAGAAAATCTTAATATTACTATTCCCAAAAGTTTATCACAGAATTTCCTAAAATAATGTCTTGTGTTAATGAAATTCTTGAGATTAAAAATGAAACAACAAAAATTCATTATCTACTCTAGATGTTCTAATGACGATCAAAGCAAACACAATCCCCAAATAATACGTATATAAACTATAAGGATTGTCAGATTGTTGACCTGCTTATATAAGGCCTTTAAGGATAGGCAACAGCCTTTGTAATTAATGTGATATCATAGCACTGAATAAAAAGAATTTTGTTTTTAGTATGATTTTTTTTGTCTGTCATTAAAGCATTGTATTGCACTTGAATTTTCCAACATAAAAAGGCTATGGCCTTTTCCCAGTTTCTATGAAAAAAAAAACCATGGTCAAGGCTTGATGAATTTCATTCTGAAATATTTCAATATTCTTACAAATTACAATCAGGTTTTCAGGCATCGAAAAATATTTTCAAAGTCACACATCCTGCAGGTTGAGTAGCTTCTAAATCCAATGTGCAGGCAATATTTTTCTACTCGCCCTGCATCAAGTTCTCTTAAATTCTACTCGTAATTTTGAGCGGACAAGAGGAATTTTTGATCTCTGGGTTTTGTTCCACTTGAATGGTAAGTGGGTTAGGGGAAAACTTCCATTGATGTAAAATGTTCATAAATTCATAACGATATACAAAATGACATTATGTCAAGCTCTCACCTTTTGTGAACTACACACTACTTCAACCTCTTCATTTAGGAATCTCTCAACGTCCTCTAACTGTAACAACTCGTACTCAAAATATTCTGGATCATCACTCTTTTTTGGTTTATCTATGTCAAGGTCATCTGTGTCGTTGTCATAGTAACCACAATAATCATCATCATCATCCATATGGTCCGAATCATGGTCATAGTCCGAATCATGATCAGAGTCTTGACTTTTCATGTCATCTGACATGATTATACTTGTTTATAACTATTTCTTCCTTCTAAGATCTTGATTCTACAATTGCAAAAAGAACAGTCAATTTTGTACAATCACAGAACAATTGATATATTTATCATCATTTCAAGTGAAGATTTTGACTTGACATAACATCTTGCATAATTGCATAATTAATTAAATTTGCTTTCTGCATGCTCTATTATTTATCATAAACATGTTGTTTTTTCTTAGCTTTTTAGTCACACTTTCAAAGTATATATATATGATATGGATACTTTCAGCTTTACTCAGTCAAGACCTAAAGGCACTTTTGTACATTATTTCAGGTAAAAATGGATACCTTAGCACCAATGTTTATGTAGCTAGCTAGATAGCTTCCTACATGAAAGAATTCAAAGTGTGAGTCCCTGTCAGAATTGTGGTGAGGGCAAGTGGTTTGAAGTCAAGGACCTTAACCACTCTGCCACAGAAGCTCCTTTATAAATAAAATGCACACTGAACAACAATCTAATCAATATTGCTCATAAATCCATATATCAGAATACAAAAAAAATGTCTTATATCTTGCCTTTATAGGTTAATCAATATTTTATGACAAGACCAACGCCATGCATGAGAAAACAACCCTGAATGTCATGTATTCATTTTGTTTTTGTTAACATAGTGACTTTTTAACAATATTCAGTTTAGTTGTTCTTGAAATAATATAAAAACTATATCATCAACTTCACCGTACCTATTCATATGTACCTTCAACATCTAAAATTTCTAAATGGTAAATAACTCTTCCATTTTTAGCATCAATTACTGTATGTAAACTTGTTAAGACATTATTTGTTTAATGACATTAAGGGTTATTTTCTTATGCCAGCAGTCAAATTTAATAACTGTAAAATTATTAAAATAAATTTATTATTAAATTATCATATTACTTCTTTAATTGCATGCTCTATTATTGCTAAAAAATTCTTGAATATAATATATTAAATCTATTTAAAATGAAATTATACGAAATCTATTTAAAATGAAACTAGAACTATCACTAAATGTGATTAATACCCCCACAAGACTGCTTCGGAAATGAGGATGTTACTAGTAACAGAATACCTTGTAAAAGAATTGAAATAGAGTTATGGTTGAGGGCAATTAAAGATAGTTGTGGTTCTTGTATGTTGCATTTCCTTTCAATGTGGTTGGTCTTATTGATGATGTTTTATTGAATTGCTCTGTAATAAGTCCAGAAAGACAAGGAAAAGGAACAAAGGACAATAACAATAAATACTGAAGATGGGGTTATGGTTATTGTACACTGCACTTCCTCTCATTGCACTTGACCATTGTATGAAGTTGTATTGAATTCCAACTACAAGTTTTCAAGTTATGCACAGGACAAAAAAGTAACAAAGGGCAATAACTGTAATTAGTCCAAATAGAGTTATGGTTCTTGTGCACTGCACTTCATCTCACTGCCCTTGACCATTGTATAAAGTTTCATTGAATTCCAATCATTAATTTTCAAGTTATGCACTGGACAATAAAAAGTAACAAAGGGCAAAAGCTTTTAAATGAGTCAAGAAAGAGTTATGATTTCTGTACACTGTGCTTCCTCTTAATATACTTGACCATTGTATATTCCAACTAGAAAATAGAGAAAAACTGAATCCCTAAAGAAAGTCCAACACGACAAAATTGAAAATGTTGCAGGCTCGGTTTGATTGAGCCTGTTCATGGACGGTACTGAAAAGTGCATGTTACCGTCCACGCCCCCTAGCACCGGCTTTTCAAGTTTTCAAGTTATGCTCTGGACAAGAAACAAGAGCGATCAGTAATCACATGTGTCGCCTCATGATGGCCAATTTCATGTTGGGACAAATTTTGAGACAGACGGACAGTGCACAACTAGACTTGGTACTGATCATTCCTGTAAAGTTTGGATAAAATTGCACCAGTAGTTTATGAGGAGTAGTCCGGACAAGCTTTTGCGTATCTGGCAACACACAGAAAAAAACACCTTTTTATCAAAGGGCCATAACTCGGCCAAAAATCATTCAACCGGAAAACCCATGCAATATGCGCAAAAACTTGAGCTACAGATCAATCCTGTAAAGTTTCATTGAAATTACATTAGTGGTATAAGAGAAGTAGTCCGGACAAACTTTAAAATTAAAAATTGTTAAAGGGCCATAACTCTGACAAAAATCATTGAACCGGAAAATGCTGACAACATGCACAACGAGACTTGGTACTGATCATTCCTGTAAAGTTTGGATGAAATTGCACCAGTAGTTTATGAGGAGTAGTCCTGACAAGTTTTGTGACGGACGGACAGACAATGGAGAAGTGATCCCTATATGTCGCCACTACTCCGTAGAGGCGACACAAAAAGCAATGGAAAAGTAACATTAAGGCAATAACACTATAATTACTCTGGACAGAGTTATTGTTCTTGTGTACTGCACTGCCTCTTACTGTACTTGATCATGGTATGAAATTATTTTGAATTCCAACCAGTTAGTTTTAAGTTATGCTCGGGACAAGGAAAAGTATCAAAGGGCAATAACTTTGTAATTTTCAAAATTGAGTTATGGTTCTTGTGCACTGCATTTCCTCTTAATGTGCTTGACAAATGTATGAAGTTGTATTGAATTCCAACCAGTAGTTTTCAAGTAATGGTCCGGACAAGGAAAAGTAACAAAGGGCAATAACTTTGTAATTAGTCAAGATAGAGTTATGGTTCTTGTGCGATGCACTTCCTCTCAATGTGCTTGACCATTGTATGAAATTATACTGAATTCCAACAATTGGTCTTCAAGTCATGCTCCGGACAAAACAAGCAATGTTTAAGTTACAAAGGGCAATAACTCTGTAATAAGTCAAGATGGAGTTATGGTTCTTGTGACCTGCACTTCCCCTTATTGTGCTTGACAATTGTATGAATTTGTTTTGAATTCCAACCAGTAGTTTTCAAGTTAATATGCTCCGGACAAGGAAAAGTAACAAAGGGCAGTAACTCTGTAATTAGTCAAGATGGAGTTATGGTTCTTGTGCACTGCACTTCCTCTCAATGTGCTTAACCATTGTATGAGGTTATATTGAATTCCAACCATTAGTCTTCAAGTTATGGTCCGGACAAAAGAAGGCAATGGAAAAGTAACAAAGGGCAACCAGTAGTTTTTAAGTTATGCTCCTGACAAGGAAAAGTAACAAAGGGCAATAACTCTGTAATTAGTCAAGTTATGGTTCTTGTGCACTGCAATTCCTCTCAATGTGCTTGACCATATTATGAAACTATACTGAATTCCAACCATTAGTCTTCAAGTTATAGTCCGGACAAAAGAAAGCCATGGAAAAGTAACAAAGGGCAATAACTCTGTAATAAGCCAAGATGGAGTTATTGTTCTTGTGCACTGCATTCCCCTTATTGTGCTTAACAATTGTATGAAGTTGTTTTGAATTCCAACCAGTAGTTTTCAAGTTATGCTCCTGACAAGGAAAAGTAACAAAAGGCAATAACTCTGTAATTATTCAAGAGGGAGTTATGGTTCTTGTGCACTTCACTTCCTCTCAATGTGCTTGACCACTGTATGAAGTTATATTGAATTCCAACCATTAGTCTTCAAGTTATGCTCCGGACAAGGAAAATGCAACGGACCGCTGGACCGACCGACCACTGGGTGACTCCTATATACCCCCCAAACTTCGTTTCGGAGGTATGATAAAAACAATGCTTTGCAACTTTTTTATCTTTCTTTCTTTCTATCAAAAAAAAGGCACATACAGAGTAAATTATCAACAAAAACAGGCTTAACATAAATGTGTGGACATCCTTCTTTATTGGACCCTGGAGCCTTGCTGAGCTGCCTGTCATAAAATTCTTTTAAGCTAAAACACTGCAATCCTTGAGGCAACATGTGTTAGAATATATACATTTGTATACTCATTAATTAGACAAATATACAGTAACTTCAGAGTAGATTATTTGAAAATATTAAAATTGAGCCGCATCACGACAAAACCAACATAATGGGTTTGCGACCAGCATGGATCCAGACCAGCCTGCGCATCTGGGCAGTCTGATCAGGATCCATGCTGTGCGCTTACCAACCCTATTACAAGTAGAAAATGATAGCAACAGCATGGATCTTGATCTGACTGCACGGATGAGCAGGCTAGTCTGGTTCCATGCTGGTCGCAAACGCACTATGTTGGTTTTGTCGTGACGCGTCTCAAATCATTCATTTAAAACAAATGCTATCTAAACCATTCATCTGAACAACTTGTCACTCAAGTATTTTTGGATCACTCGAAACAGATACAGCATGCTCACTCTTATAATTTCAAATGTGTAAGGGTACCCCCTGTAATAGAAAATTGGGGGTACATTTAAAAAATTTGGGGGTACACATAAGTTATTACATGTTTTTGTTGGTGATGTACATAATAATTATCATTATGCAATTAAAAACAACTATTTATGTTCTTGTTTTGTTCTTGATGATCAACAGGAGATTATTTTCTGATAATTAAATAATTATGGGTAAGACAAATAAGCAGATTGCCCGAGGCCCGCCCCTGTGGTAAATTTTCACAAATGTTCCTATATTTCTTGCATAATACAGTATTCACATAAACCACATAAATGTGTTCCTCAAGTTCTGAAGATTTTAGATTTACCAGTACCAGAGAGAATTCTTATAAATATAAATTTCTTTGTAAAACTTGAACTGAGAGTGTGAAAATCTGTGTCAATAAATTAGGGGCGTCACTGTTACAAAAAACCGACCCTACAAATAAAATCCTTAGATTTTCAACAATAACTTTGTAACTTTATGACAAGATTAATATGCATTTTGTTCATATTTTGTTATACTCAAAATAATTAGATCTACGATACATATCCAAATTAAAAAGAGTTATTTTTGCTATGTATTTGTCTCATTGCTGTGCTTGTTTTTATTACCTTGTATCAGGCTTACACTCAATATGATTATTGTAGCCATAATTACTCTTTTAGCTTTAGTTCTCTACTTTATGTGCTTTTATTGTGCTAGATTTGTTTCTGTTTAGTTTTATGTGCTATGTATCATCTTTTATATACATGTATAATTTGATGGTTTGTGTATATGTTAATGTTAGGGTTGTTGTTCATTTTCTTAAACTCAGTTTAACTTAAAGTTTATTTTCTTACAACATCTGAACTGTCCATTTCAATGGAATGAATAAAAAATATATAGCCGGCTAAGTCAAATTATTTTATTAATATTAATTCATTTTCTCATTATATAATCTATATTTTACACAAAAAAAATGAATACTGCTATATTTCAGTATTTCGTGCTGCCGCCAGTTTTTAGCTAAAAACTGACTGTACATACCCATTTAGAAGTGACACCCCTACAACAAATAGTGCTGCATGATAGATGAAGCATGGCTTTTTTAAACTGTAGAACCTTGTTTAGCTGAGCCCAGTATGCCCAGAGGTTTTGCTGTTTCTGACTTCCAAATTTTGAAACTTAATAAAAGCCCCGAGTTATTCTGAATTTTATTGCAGCTTGAAAATACGCATGTAAAAAAGCAGGGGCGAAGTGGCAGCAGCTGTATCAGGGAATAGACCCTGGTGTCTAAAAGAGAGTATGTATATAAGGTTCAATCCGTAACTTGCTTTTCTTTCTTATACACAAGGAATCCGGGTCAGCTAGGCCCTAAAACGTACTCGGCCCCCGAGTCAGCTCGGCCCTATTCCAACTCGGCCCACTTTTCAATTAATAATATTTAGGTTTGTGTTATTACTATTTATTGTAATTATTGTAATTATTTATAATACATGGATTGACAGTTTCCGAACTAGCAGCAGACAGGCTTTCTTATCAGTAGAATAGTGAGTAAAGATAACCGATTGCGTATCTCACTGTATTTCTGACTCGTGGTAGGTTTAACCGTAAATTTAAATACCTTCAGTGTCCAACTAACTCATTCATTCAAATTTGATTAGTGACCACCTGCAATTAATTAGAAGCTTATGATATTAAGTGAGCACGTTTTTGTTTCTTATTTTTTGAATAGAACTTTTAATACAAACAAAATGCATCTAAAGAAACACATTTTCATTAGATCTATATTAATTTTATCGAATCTGCAAGACAAATAAATAACTTTTTTTTTTCTAAATATACTTTATTTCCGTAGAAGTAGATCTACAATGTAAAATTATATAATAATAAGATATTTCTCATTATTCATTTACCTTAACAACATGCAAAGCAAAGTTAATACGTTATATACATTTTTGCAAAGTGGGCCGAGTTGACCCGTGCCGAGTTGGTATAGGGCCGAGTTGACTCTTTTCCTACACAAGTACAGAAGTTTTACTCATGAAATATACACAGCAGCCCCAATAATTTAAGAAAGTGCTTTTATTGTTTATCTGTTTATCTTCTGTGGTCTATACTAGATTTGTTTCCAAACCGTCTGAGATAGTTCATTGATCATAACAGTTAAAGTTTTAAACACAATCATGCAAAAACAAAAGTCGAAGATTTTTTTTGTGTTGTAGATCTATGTTTGTAAACAAAAAAATATCTAAGAGAAAAATTTGAAGATGTCATTTTCAATAAGATACACCAATTTTACAATACCTGAGAAAAAAATCTTTAAATCTGTTGACTTTTTTTGACAAAAGTTCTCCAACCAGCGTGCAAAATAACAAAATTATTCTTTGTGTGTCATCTCTATTTGTCTCACAAAGGGGGTCATCTGCAGGATATGACGTTTGTCCTATTTTTTACTTCCGGTTTCGACTAAGGGCATTACACCACTAAATGGTAAGTTATAGCTATTCGGCCAACAAACGATTCGCCCCATTTTAGTGGCGATCTCATTCTGGACCATATTGGCGACAATAAGGCCCATACAATAATATGCTTAAACATGTTTTTAATCGATTACTTTGATAATATATTTATGTTTGTGATATATATGGATATATATGGTAAGCTTAGCAATCCAAAATTTATAGCAACGTACATTAGGACACGGAGTTTAATAGAGTATATATATACATAATGTATTAGGATAAAATTATGTTCAGATTGGTTACTTGACAATTAATTATCTATCCACTTTGGCAAGACAGAATGAAGCTCTTTAATTGGTACGGAATCAAAACTACAATATCTACAAAATATCTCTATTCTATTGAAAGCCACATAATAAAGACTATCTTTGAAATAAAATATCGTTTTTTTTTCAAAGGTAAATTAAATTTATATTCTGATACAAATTAAAAATATTTAAGCTGGTTATTGGAGGATATAGTTAAATGGTTTGTCCCTTTTGTTAAGTAACTTGTGATTATTCTTCATTTTTTTGTTGTATGGATGACTAACTAAGTCACTTTTAAAGCACAAACTGCCAAACTTCTTAAATGATTTTATGTCAGCAAGAGAAATCCACTGATGAGATAAAAAAAAGTGCATTATAAAAAATAGTTCTTAATTATTTAAGTTTTGTCTACCATATCAAAGGAAACAGATATTTGTGATCTAGGAATATTTTAATCTTATTTTTTTACATAATGATTCTCTAGTTTAACACACATTTTTCTATAACATTTTAATGAAAGATTTTAAAGAGACTTGAATTCTTTGCCAGACAATATAACTCAATCAAAAACATCTTTAGATTTCAAACAAATTTAAGATTAAAAACAAAATGGAAATGACAACAAAGTGAACAAATTGTAGAAATGATATCGGTCTCAGCGGTGTTTATCGGAGCTATTTATTAATTAATTAATACTGAATAAATGTCAAAGTTTATACATTCTGATAACGTTGGTGACAAGATATATTGTTATGTGTGTCAGGGACAATAAATAAAGACACACCAAACTAAAAAATAAATTCCGGTGTAGCTTTCGGAACTTCAATGTACCTTAATTTATTTAATGATTGTCAATTAGCAACTAAAATGTCGACATGTTAGTTGATATTGAAATCCAACGAATTTATAGTGGCGAGCTCTTTGAAAATGGCAAATAAAATTAATGTGATACTACCCGAGGTAGTGCTTAATATTTAAATGTGTCTACTGGTAGTGGTACCTTTAGCGGTAGTGGTGGTGAAGTAATACGTACATTGAGGGAAAGGAGCAGGCAGTGAAGCAATTAAAAATGGATAAATCTTTTTAAAATGTTCTACATCAGACATTGACACCAATTCTTTATGTATTTTAATGTCATGCTAAGGAACCCATTAGAAACTTGTGAATTCGATGCTCGCATACGGAGGAGACTGATACCTTTCACTCTACACATTAATTTAAACGGGTATTGCTAGCACTAAATTGTTTACAATATATGTCTTAAACATAGATTTGCTTTTTAGATATTTTATATGACCATCCCTGTAAACAAATGGACTGGTTGCTCTGAAACTGAAACAAATCTAAAAAAGGCAAATTGGCGGTCTCCATGTATCTTTGTGAGTTATTTGTCACTCGTTATTCCACTTTCAGTCATGTCATTATGTTAGGTTTAAAATAAATATTTCTTGCACAGAATTTATTATGCTTTAGATAGTAAACATACTGTATTTTTCTTCACGAAAACTAGAAGAAAGCATTAGCAATTATGAATATAACTTTTCTAATAGAATTTCAGTGATTTTTTTGCTATGAAACAGGGGATAATTGTCAGGCCAAAAACATATTATGTACTATGCTTTTTTACAGCACAATTTATCGGGACTTTCTTGTTATAGTACTGCAGAGATTCACAAGATTCCAGCAATATAAGACGCCATAAAAATCATATTTTATTGGCGTTACAAGATAATACCCATCCAGGTTATTTACCGTGGGTTACGAAGATGGAAGAAACCCAAAGCCTTAAGGCATAGTCTTTTCTATGCTTTCAGCACTCTAAAAATTTGTATGTTAACAGTATCATTTCAATTCCTTTCGAATCATCAACTTTTAAATTATATCATCGAATTTCAAAACAACTTAATTTCCAAACGGGATCTTAAATGTTTAATTACAAACAATAGGAAAATGTGCTCTTACTGTCTGAAATAGTAATATTTTTGGAACGTGTGTTTAAGATACTATAGCGGGTCTTGAAATTTCCGAAACTAACTATCGTTTTCTGGATTTTTTTTGTTGTTTTTATTTGGTTTTACCGCGCACCAATAAAGTCACATTGCACCGAAACAGGAAAGATGATTTTGGCAATTTTCAGGAAAATATAAAAAATATAAAGAAGCATTTAAAAAGACGATTTATTTATATGATCAGATAAAGCTTAGAATAACGGGTTCCCTGCGCTATATTTCTAGAATTTTCATCAAGTAACAGTAAAGTTATCAGTAAACATCTTACTTGAGTGTGGCACAAATCCCAAAAGTCACGTGGGTTGGCCACCTTGGTGATTCAGGATTGCAAGCCGCGTTGGTTGAAACTGCGTCAAAGGCATTCATTCTCTCATTGCTAAGTTTATTAACAACAGGTAATGACGTACATTCCTTGATGTACGTTTTTAACAGTTTTGTATTTTTTCCTCTAACGTAGCGTGACAGAAAATCGCCAAGGTAGGCAACATCTGTAAACAAGAGTACTGCAGAGGCGGAGCAATATATATCCGAATGTAAATTTCTTTGAGTAATTAAAATAATATTTCAGTTAGAATAGAAACCAAATCTAGAATCTTGTCTGAAAAATGTTTTATATTTATTTATGATCCTTATGTTGCTACATGACGTCCAAAGTGGAGGCTTTATTTTAACCCAAGTACATAATTCATAGAAAAATAAAGTGGTGTACTAGGCAATGTAAATGACAAATATAGAGACATAAATAAATGTATCCACAAAAAGGTAAGATATGTTTCCTACAACTTAGTGTACGTAAAGCAAGTGACTCCGGGGGCCTGACCAATTTTGACATGGTAAATATAACTTGTAGAAACCTACATATTGATGCTACGTGTCAACTATACGAGCTCTGGACTTTGTAGTTTCACACAATATGACTTAAATGTATTTTCCTATGCAAGTTTATATAAATCAAGTGACCCCGGAGCGGGCCAACATTGACCCCAGGAATATGATTAATATCAGTTTTGCAAAGGTTCACAAGGTAATATATAAAGCTAAATGTTTACTATCTTATTTTTTAGCATTGTAGTTTCACAAAATAAGACTGGCAGAAATGTCAATTAATAAGTCTCAGATTTGTTTTTCCAATGTAAGTCTATACAAATCAAGTGACCCTTCGGGATTGGCCAATATTGAACCAAGGAGTATAATTCATATCAGTTTTGTAAAGGTCAATAAGGCAACGCTATATGCTAAATATTTAAGCTGTAGACATTGTAGTTTCAAACTTAAATGTGTTTTCCTATGTAAGACTTTATCAACCAAGTAATCACCGGGACTGGTCAATTTTAATCTCAGGAAGCCCAAACCTGTGTTCTGCACATCGTGCCATTAATTTATAAGTAATATTTCTGCGGAAAAGTTTTAATTCCTTTCTGTCGGCTCAAAGATACAGAGCGGATACGAGATTTTGTAATTGATACAAAATGACTCAGTGTTCCTTTGAACTTGACCTGAAGATGGTCAAACCTGCGCTCTGCAAATCGGCTTATTATGGTTAACACTCCTGTCGAGTAATTTCAATTTCCTTCCATCGGCTCAAAAGATTCAAAGCAGACAAACATATTTGAAATAAATACAAAATGACAAAGTGTAACCTTAAATAAAAGATACAGACCGTACACGATATCTTGGACTGACGATCAGGTGCAAATCAGGTACGCCGTATAAAAATCTTTGATTCAAATTTCATTGCCTTTTTGAAGTTAATGATTATCATAGAGAAATATTGTGACTGATTTGACGAATTTTTCAAGATTTGTTGACAATATAGCAAATTACATGTGCAGTGTAACTTCCGCAATCCGGAACTTTTAAAATCCGCCGAAAATTTTCGTTTAGTTTTCTCCTCTGAATTCTGAAACTTTCTGATCGATATTGTTTTGTGTGTGTAAGATTTGGGTAAAAATATCTTATTTGGTTACATTCATGCAGTGCTAAAATTTTTATTTACAGATGTTATCGGTCTTCTATATGTATGAAAATTTTACTGGTTTTAACCCCTCTCCTACTATGAAAAGTATATTTAGCAACATAAAACATTTACAAATAGTAAGAAAAGGAATCTGCACATGTCAGTCTGTGTACTTGTATGAGAAAAATTATATGAGGGAAATTAAAATATATATGGGGAATTGTATGAGACATAACCATTAAAAACAATAATACAAGGGAGATAAACTCTTCTTTAGATCATTTAAGTGTGCATGATGCGATGTTGCCCCTTTGTTTAAAATGGTTAGACGTTCGTAAAAACATTTGTCATAACATTGCAAACCTATTATGAAATTATATGATGCACAGTAGTCAGATGGATAATAAACCTGCAATAATAGGGGCTACAGAAACACTGGCTCTGCCTTAGCAACACCCTTTACATACAATATATCACACATCAACAGGTGCACCGCCTTGGGGAATTATGTGCTATTGCTGAAAGTTTGTACCCCACATTCTCCGGACAAAATGACCTATTTTTACCGAGCATGTAGTTCAATAGTATTTTATTTCAGTGTTGCAACATTTTGTTCCGGTCCTTAAGGATCATTTATTCCAGTAACTTTAAGCGTAGAGGATTGGATAAAGTTTAAGACGGTTACAGCTAGGGTGTCTGAGGGATGATGCACTAGTCAACATCTC